ATTAATTGGTTTTATTCCTACTATAAACCACCTCAGTGCTGTGTTTAAAGGGAAGGGTGTATTTACACCAGTTAAGTTAATAAGTTGTGATGTGTTTTTGTGTCTTTAGAGGAACAAACTAACCATATTATTTCTCTGAACTGTCCAGGAAAGGGCTGGACATTGCAGAGCACACGGTTTTGGGAGTGGGACTGGGAGTGTGTTGGGGTCATCCTGCTGGTTGTAACCAAGGCTCGTGGAAGCCAGAATGGTGCTGTTTGGCTGTAGACAGGCTGCTCGGGTGAGAGCTGCTGAACCAGGGCTGTGTAAGCACACAGACAGTCAGGATGTGAGCTGCATGCTTGTAGGCTGGTTGTGAGCAGCCCAGATTGGGACCGCCAACAGCAAAGCAGTGTGAGGCACCCAGGGTTACAGGGCAAATGGTGACACAACCCCTCGCTGGTCTGGATTGCACCTTGAAACCCCAACTGGACTGTCACAGCCTCCCTGGACTTCTGGTATGCCTGCTGCAGTTCCTTTTCTTTCACACAGCACTGCTGCTTATTTCTGTCATATCCCCTTCATCTGCATCCCTCATGCAATCTGCTTGTAGATGTCCACGTTTCTACAACTGCTCCACAGGGCAGTTGCAAGGGAAATTGGGAAATGTTGTTTCCCTTGTGGGGAATATAGAAAATTGAGTTCATGTTGGAGTTCAACAGCCAATATTTCTGGTGAGGCTGGAGAACTTCAGTTCTGCTTCCTTGTGCTTACTTACTCAGAAGATGGGAGAGGCAGGAGAGCTTGCAAACCTCTCTTCCATACAGGATAGGACTGGCATATGACTTTTAAAAAAAAATCAAGGGGTAAAATTCTGGCCCTGTTTAAGTCAATGGGAGTTTTGCTACTGACTTCCATAGGATCAGGATTTCATACAGGAAGTTTTTTGCATCTAGATGCAGTTCTCCAGTGTCCAGATCCTGCCTTGGGGTGCCATTCCTTGACTGCTGTGGAAATGGTCATTTAGAGAGAAAAATATTATTAGTGACATTGAAATGCATTGGACTGGAAGAGTTTGTTTTGAAAGGACAGAGTGGAAAAATTTTAAATATTCAGTATAGAGGCAGCAGCTCTAAAACAAATGCAGGCAACAAATTTTAGAAATAGCCTATCTCCTTAAATGTTTTAAAATAATCTACTTTCCCTTGATTTCTCTTGGAATATAGATTATCCAAAATAATGTGTATACATATATGCTTCTTGGTGGGGCCTAGCTTGTCTACTCACCTGTCACATCGGTCTTCTCTTTCTGGGTTACTTTCAGGTTCTGTTTTAGCCATACAGTCAAACCTGTGCAGAAACATACCTCTTCCTTATTTGCAGAGGAAGCCTTGGAGACTTTCAAATGTACTGCTCAGACTCTACCACAGGCTTGTCCCAATACTTGGGACATAGCATTTTCTAAATGACATGTATATGCCTCCCAACTGATTGTGAGATGTCTCCTGTCTGGGACTATCAAAGACGGGAGGGGTTCCATTAGAGGGAATGCCTTGTAGATACAGAAATTTCTCCTCTTCCTGCAGTTAGTGTTTCCTGACCGGCTTCAAGGTCTGACACTGTCACAGTGCCCTGTGAGTGGCTATTTTTTGTAGTGGTTCTGGAGTTCTGGCAATATTCAGATGTCTGGGGCCCTGCATGGATTGCTCAGCTGTAAGAATTGCAACTCCACTTCTAGGGCCAAAGGGGGGTAATCTGATTCACTGGAACCATGGTGCAGTCATTTAGATCTGTGTCTTCCAAGACTATGACTAATTTCCCCTCCAAAGCTGGTTACCTGGTTGTTAAACTTCAGCTCAGTGGGGGCCTCATTGCTGACGTGGAAGGTGCAGGGTCTTCACTCCCTATTTAAGGAAAATTACCATATATTCTTATTTTGTTTGAGAAACAAAGCTCAGATACTACGGGGACAGAATCTATCTAGGGTGTTAGAATGTACCCATCACCATAGTATTCTGTGCAAGTTTGTGCAAAATGTCACATTAACATCCTATGACACCTGCAACGTCTGTAACCCTGAGTGTATAAACAAGCCCCAAAATGTCCCTGGAGCTTTAACCCTCTTCCTTTGTCTCCCCACTATTCCTTTGTAGACTGGGTCAGCTGGTCCAGCAACAAAAGAAAGGCTTTCAACAAGCAAAGCATTTCTCCAAGCCTTTATTCTTGAGCTTTCGTGTGCACAGGTTATAACAAAAGGAAAAAGCAACTGTTACCCAATACAGAATCAACCAAGATTGAATGGGGAGGCAGGGGAGGCTACCAATGAATCTATGAATGTATCTATCAATGAACACAGTATCTGAATACCTTGCTCTCCCTGTATTTAACCAGGTAAGTGTTTATATCGTTTCCAGGGTTTGCTCTGGCAGCCTGATTAGGCTTTTGGTCCCCAACCCTGCTTTATTACCCCACTCTACACTTGTGTGAGGTCTGAATGGGAGTTAGTTAATTCTAATCAGGTTGGGCTACCGCACCCTGTCACGTATGCCCTTAGGATCGGCTGTCTTTTCCTGTCATGTCACTGTGTTATGCTTAAAATATATGGCAAGATCCCCGTGGCAAGTACTTTGTTTTAAGTTGATGTTTACAAATCACTATACAGGCCAATGGTATCATATAATTAATAATAACATAATTAATAGTGATTGTGAAAAGTAAAACTTGTAAAAGTGCAACTTGAAACCCCCACAATAAATAGGTGCGCCCACACCTTGAATGATTGGTCTAGTTCTGGTCGCCCCATCTCAGAGAGAATATAGTGGAACTGGAAAAGATTCAGAGATTGGTAACAAAGATGATGCAGGGTATGGAACAGCTTCCATATGAGCAGAGACTAAAAAGATAAGGTCTGTTCAGCTTAGAAAAGAGATGACTAAGGGGACGTATGAGAGAGGTCTGTACAATCATGAACAATGTGGAAAAAGTTGATGGAAAAGGTAAATACTTCTCTCACAATACAAAAACCAGGGCTCACCTGATGAAATTATTGGGCAGCAGACTTAATACAAACAAGAGGAAGTCCTTTTTCACACAACACACAATTAACCTGTAGCACTCATTGCCATGGGATGTTGTGATGGCCAAAAGTATAACTGGGTTCAAAAAAGAACTAGATAAGTTCATGGAGGATAGGTCCATCAATGCCTATTAGTCAAGATCGTCAGGGATGCACAACAGGCTCGGGGTAACCCTGAACCTCTGACGGCCATAAGCTGGGAGGGGAAGACAAGGTGGCTCATTCCAAACTGCTTTGTTCTGTACACTCCCCCTGAAGCTCTGGTACTGGCCACTAGTGGAGTCAGGATACTAGGCTAGATGGACCATTGGTCTGATCCAGTATGGCAGTTCTTAAATTTTTATGGTGTGCTGAGCATTTCTTGTCAACATACAAAAAACGGCTACCACTTTGCTCCTCTTTGGATAGCACTGTGCTACATATACCGATGAACCAGCCACAATATAGATTCCTGGGTTATAGTGTGGGCTACCTAGCACTATTGCTACTCTGGAGTGAAGGAATTCCTCCAGCAAGCAACCCTGTCCTGAGAAGTTATGACCAATTTCTATATAAGCCTGTTTACAGCAACAAATCCTGCAATCCAATCTCCATGATCTCTCCCTGGTTTGTATGATAAACCAAACTGCTCCATGGGCAATAGCAATGCCCAGCATTGTACATCTAAAGCGAATAAAGCTGGAATGCCCATTTTCAGCCCTGATATCCCCCAGATGTTGTTTATAGATGGTTCCAGTTACAGACTGTATCTGTGGTCATAAACACAGTGCCCCCTAGTGGAGGAATAGACCTACTACAGGAAGTAGACCAATTCCAGACTTCACTGTAAGGCTCCACTGCAGAAAGGAGCAAATGAGATTTTGTGGCTAGTGCTACGGTGCTTCCTGTGATGACTGGCTTCAGAAGCATGTATATCTGTCAATCAACCTCCCAGTGCTGCAGCATGGGATGGAGACTTCTATAATGTGGGATGCAGCCCCACATAAGGATTCCTGTCTATCCTATGGGGCCGTCAAGCTGTGATGGTTTAAATGAGGGAAATTTCAGAATAGTCCAGTGTCGATTGTATAAGGCACATTGATGAGCACAGAAAAATCCTTCATCATAATAATGAGAAACTGCTTTAAAAATGATCTAAAATGAGGGACTCTCCCTCTAAAAACTGGGTAAGACTGGGTGGCTGGTCTGAATCCTCATATCCTGAAGAAGACGCCTGAAGCGGTTGAAGAGTCAGGGATTATTTTGGAGTGGATGTGATCACAATGCATTGTCACACAGTGGGACAAAGTCATGACTTTGCTATGCCAATGTTATGATACATTGTGTTGTGTCACCGTGTTCTCCTGCTGGACCAAAGAGGTAAAGTAGCAGCCACCAGTGACCACTTAGGATTAAATTAATTAAAGCCACTTTGCTTTCCCTCTAGCTGCTCAGAGACAGAGGAGCTAGAATTTGGGGCAGAGACTGTCCTTTTGTTCTGTGTCTGTACAGTGCCTAGCCCAATGAGGTCCTGGTCCAGCAGGGGCAGCAAAACAAATAATAAAAATTAATAATAACTTAGATCTCCTTTGGCTGGGAGCAGTATAGGGACTATGATACACAGCCGGGCTAACAGAGGTGACACTGCCAGTTCGTTACATTGCTAAAGCTAGCGCTGGTCGGCAGCGATTCGAAATAATCCCAGGGAACAGAATGAAATACCCTGGGTTCTATAAAGGGAAACGTGCGGGCCAGCTGGGACCGTCTCCAGATCAAAGCGGGGCCTGCAGGCAGTCAGTGGAGAGAGAGGCTGGAGCCAGAGAGAAAGTGAAAACACCGACGGGGCTTGCAGAGCTGTGGGTGCGCCGAGCCGCCGATGACTCCTGGTGTCCTGCCCAATCCCCTCCGCAGCCGCTCGCTGGAGCCCCTTTGGCGTGAGCAGCGGCGCGGAGTGAGGCTGCGCTGAAATGCCGAATGGCTGAGCCGCTCGCTCTGCTCATTCCGGTGGGAGCCGCAGACAGACATATTCAGGGACGGAGGAACAGGGGGACCCCTCCCTGGCAAGAGAGCGGCACCCTGCACACAGCGCCATGGTGTCATGGATCATCTCCAGGCTAGTTGTGTGAGTAGATTGTTTTCTGTGTTGTGCACCGCAATCCAGTCCGCCCCTTGCGTTGCGTGTGTCTCAGGTTTGCGGACCCACTGACACAGGGCATGTCTTGAATGCTGCTGCTATTAATACTAGATCATGACTAGTCAACTAAATTTAGCAGGTTGTTACTAATGGTTCGTTTGGCTGGATTGGGGGGGGGGGAAGAAGGGGAAGGATTATTACATGGATCAAACCGTATTTTACACCGTGGGAAAATTACAATATGAAAAACAAAATTGTGATCCTCTGTGGTACAGCGCAGGAGAAAAACCTTTGCCAGCCAGGCATTCGTTCTGCGTTTATTTGGAGATTGCTGAATAAGCAGGGTGGTTTGCACTGCTCTGTGCTTTGCAAATCAAACCACCGGGGCTGGGAAGCGGAAAAAAACAAGCACCAAAGGAAAATACAAAAAATTCAACTTGATTTCAGCGGCACCGCTTTGTTTATTGGAAAATGGCACATCTGGCTGATAATCGCTAGGGGGCGCTGCCCGGAGGGATCGGAGGGGGAGGCGAGGAGCGGGCAGTGTCATTTTGTAATTACCTGTCATAAAAGGGAAATATCACATTCTCCTACCCTGTTGGCACCCCCAGCCCAGAAAACCCCCAACCAAACCTATGAATCTAACGTGGGGGGATCTTGCAGCCTCCTCACCCTTGTGCCAATTCCATGCTTTTTAGTGAGTGCTCCTGGCCCTACTGTAGGTTGGGAATATGTAATATTTCACTGGGAATGCTTCCCAGGCACAGAGAGAGAGAGAAAAGAGCAGCAGCAAATTCCCCATACAGCCGAATTTGCTGCATCTCTCCGGGAAGAGACTAAGTAGCATTTAGTGGCACTCTAAGGGGTTTATGGTTAAGGTGGGGGAGCATAGGGGCTGATCTGTTGTCATATTTTCCCTTCTGGAATGGTCAAGGTTAGAACACTGATCGCATCAACTAAATTGTTGGTCATTTTCCTGTCTGGGCATTAAACAGACTGAGGCGGACACAAGTGATGCTCTCAAGTCATGGTGGTTGATCAGTTGCAAGCCTGTCGCTTTCTTTGTTTGCGAGAAGCATGCAGGGATGTTGCACAATCAGCACAATTTAGAAATGATATTTTTAAGGTCTGCCTCTGCCCAATGAAATTAAAGACAAGAGGATACTAGCTGTCTCTCTGTAATCCTCAGAAGCCTGTAGGAGCAGGTCACACATTCAGAGGTGGAGTTTTTCTGGTTTTCCCCAAGTAGAATTATGGTGTCTTTCCCTTTAAGCCTCCAAGTTACATGATCTGGATCCATCTGCAGCTGTCAGTAACTGTTGGGTTTGCACTTTATTCTGGGGAAGCATGTTAAATATTTAAATGATTTAATATGAACAGTAGAACTGGGCAGATATCATTGGTAATAATATGAGACATCATTTCAAAGTTTCATTTCATGTCATACAAGGCTGTTTTGGCCCCCCCCCCTGAGAAATCGGTTTATCACCACATGATCCAACAGAGTTCCCACGAACAAAGAACCAGTGGGAAACCAAAGGAAAGATGGTAATTTGACTTATTAGACTTCAAACACATGATTTCACAGAACACACCCTGTTTGATAGAAATCTTATTGGGGTAGAATATTCAGCATTTGATATCTGCAGTAACACAATTAACTGAACACAGTCTCATCTGCTTTCTCCAAATGGCAGGTTGGGTGTCAACTCTGCATTTGGAGGGTCCTACTATTGATTTGTTCTGTTTGAATTCTGATAATAAATCATAGGATGGTGGAGAAATGTTGCAAGGAAATGTAGCAATCCAAGCTCAGCTACCTCTTCCTTTGTGCAACCAATTAGCTTTAATACATGCCTCATGTCTTAAGATCTAATCTGATCTCACTAACCAGCTGTGAATTTCCAGTTCGCCCATAGGTGCAGTTTTCTGTCTCACACTGCACTTGTGACCTTTGGATCATTACACATGCAGGCATTAACACACTGTAATCTAGTTAGGGATATTCTGTGCCCATCCCTTTGATTTGTTGGTTTTCTGTTGAATCCCGGTTTACATTCATATAGGGGAGTGTTGCATTATGCTCTTAGCACTCCACCTCACTGCAATAGGCTTGGAATCAAGTCCTTAATGGGACTGCAGCTCAGTTGATCTCTAGTGATAGAGATCCACAGTAGGCAAAAGAATGCCTTACTCAGGCTCCTGGGAGTTTTAATTTTGGCAGCCTCAGCATCCCTGTTGTCTGTATCTATTTTTCTAAACCACATCTTGCCACAGTTTAGTTGACAGGTGTGTCTCATCTGCTTAATATTACTAGTGTTATCAAGACCCCTTGTTCTAGGTGCTGTACAAACACAGAACAGAGACAGTCCCTAGTAGGGAAGATCTTCATGATTACTTTAAGGGCCCGATCCTGTTCCCACTGGAGTCAAGGGGAGTTTTGCCACTCACTTCAAGATAGGCCCCACAGGATGTTCATTTTTCCACTAACTTATTTTGCATCCTGGAGATGTTTGATGCTTTGCCCTTGACTGTGAGACATTCTAGAAATACAAGAACAAAATTGCACCATTATTAATAGGTTAGTGACAGCAAATTATGCATCAGGTTTCAGTAGAAAGAACATTTCATATACCACCTGTGTCTGTTTCCCCATCTGTAACATGTAGCCACTGCCCGCTACTGGATGGAATCCGAGTTGATCAGTGGTGTGTCCTATTCCCTATATTGCCTACAATTTTAAAGGAACTGTCACGCTGTCTAGAGTAATTCACGACAGTAAGTGCCAATCTCAGGGCAAAAAGAACAGGAGTACTTGTGGCACCTTAGAGACTAAAATTTATTTGAGCATAAGCTTTTGTGGGCTACAGCCCACTTCCTTGGTTGCATAGCATGGAACATACAGCAAGATATTTATGCATACAGAGAACATGAAAAGGTGGAAGTAGCCATACCAACTGTAAAAGGCCAATCGAGATGAGTGGTCATCAGCAGGAGGAAAAAAAACTTTTGAAGCTGGTGGGTATGTTCTATAATTAAATTTCACCAACCCAGTAACAAAATGTGAACTCCTGGATCACTGTAACAGCCTTACCATGGAGTCAGAGTCCCCTTGGGTACTTCAGTCTATCTTGCTACTCAGGCATGTGGGACTTAGTGATAAATAGTCACTTACACAAAAATAAAGTAAAGTAAATAATATTCAGGTTGCTCCCAGTCTCAAGAGATCCTTCCTCAAACAATTTGTACCTTAGATCTCACACCAAAGATTGCTAACTAAGCATTTATTAACTAGAAAAAAGAAATTAGAGTTATTCACAGGTTAAAGCAGGCAACATAAAAACAAGTGAGTTACGATCCATGGTTCCAAAAGGTGACAGACCTGTACTGATCTCTCCACTGAGAGTCTTAGAACTAACCCAGGTTGACCCTGGAGATCTCTACTTTTGTGAGCATCTTTATATGCCCTTCCCTCCGAGCTCAAACTAATGAGATGAGGGCTCCTGCTCATAACTTCATGGGTTAATGGAGCAAATCAATGGAGTTTTTGTCCTACAGTGGACCATTTACTCTTGATAGCTCTTCTCAATGGGTAAGGGAACCACTCTTCCTGCCTAGGTTCACAAGTTCAGAGCAGGCATTTTTACAATTGTAAAGCAAGACTTACATATTGCCTTACAGCAGTGGTCCCCAAACTTTTTAAGTTGAGCCCCCTCTTATTCCAATGTAATCTGCTTGCACCCCCTCCCCAGGAGCTGCAGTCAGGGCTGGAGGCAGGGACAGGGCTGGAGCAGAGCTGGGAGGTGCTCCCATGCCCTGTCACTCCCCCAAACATTCCTCTGTACCCCCTAGAGTAGCATGCCCCACAGTTTGGGGACCTCTGCCTTATAGGATGAGATACAGACATCACAAGTAAGATTAATGCATGCAGCAATTTACAAGCATTTTAGAGAGTTGTCACAGAGTCCACTCACAGCTAGGGTACCTCTTCCTGGTTGCTCTGGGGATTAGTTCTTTGCAGCTCCAACACCCCTTTCTGTCAGTTCCTCTCCTGGTTTCTTTTTCTCAGACAGAGTGCTCCTTCACACTCAGCCCTCTAGGGTAGGAAAGTCTCTCTATACAAAAATGGCAGACTTCCCTTCACTGCCCTGACTGTGCTACTCCTTCAGTGGCTGGTGGTGGAAGCCAGCCCAACCATTTACTCCAGGTTCTAGTCCATGGACCCTATCTCTAGGGACAGTGACCTGCTCACTGCTAGATTGTGTTGCTCTTCCCCTGGACACCTTCCTACATCTCAGCTCTACCTTGTGGTTCCCCCAGCCTTCTGGGTTTACCAGCCTAAATTCCCTTCTCCTAGGGAGTAATAATTGCAGGGTACCTAGCACTGTAACCCCAAACACACCTCCCTTCTCCTGCAAGTGACTGCAGACTATTTCCCCTATAGCCCTTCTCTGTTGCCAGTTTCCTGGCTTTATACCAGTCCCTACTGCTCCTCCCTAGCTGGACTCCATCCTCAATCAGTTCTTTAATCCCTGGTCCTTCCCCAGGTGCAGTTTATCAGGTTAATTATCCTCATTTACTGGCTCTGCCTTGTACATATTGGGGTAAACACCCCATCACTAGTGTAGACACCAAACACATTCTTACAAGTCTAACACCTGTCGGAAACAATATTAACATACAAGGGAGCTGATCTGATTTCTAGTGTGAGTTTGTCAGTGCTCAGATGACACCTATGGTTTAGCAAGAGCTGGCATCTGATTTACCAGCATCACAGGAGGTGCTCCTTTACTTCAAGTGATAGGTGCCTGTAGTGTTGGAGTAGATGGACTGGAATTCTATCTTTGCTGTTGCTGTGAAGTTCTCATTGGCCAGGGTGTGCAGCATGATGACAGCTGTGAAGCCCTAGATGTCTGTTCTGCCTCCCAGGGGAGGGAATTAGTCTGCAGAAGAGAAGAGTGAGGGGGGATTTGATAGCAGCCTTCAAC